TAAAAATTCCTTGCTATGTTTTTGCGACGCCCGGTTCAGCCGGGCGGACCCCCCCGGGCCCAACCGGCCGGGGTCCGCCCGGCCGGCCGCCGGCCCAGCCTAGGTTAAAAGACCTCGATCATCTACTTTCATTCATTCACTATCTCGTAGAGAAATGGTAGGAAGCTTCTCTGAAGATTCCTTCAGAGGCTGTCAGATATGTTTCCTATCCCTTCACAGAGAGGTGTGTATGAAGCTTCTATGAAGATCCTTGGCGTGTATTTTGACAGCCGCAATGGCTGGCAAACTCTGAATGAAGTCTGGGAAAACTCTGGTTTAAACCACCAGTACATCTGGAGAATTCGAATGAGGCTCTCCAAAAAGTTAGGGGGCTCGGGACAGGCCCCGCCTGAGGGGAGCGGGCATAATTTTTTTTGTTTTTTGTTGAGGGCTGGGCCTAGTAGGCTAGTACCACCCCACGGCATGGAATAATTTTTCTTTTGTCTACTGGCCCTTTGAACTCCCTGTCCCAGGCCTCTAAAATTTTAGGAGAGGCTCAGTTGGATTTTCAGCTTGGCGGGGACCATGTACTGGTGGTGAAAAAGTCTTCTGAAACTTTGGTTAAAATCTGAATAAACTTCAATAAAGTCTGTTAATCGTGTCTGTTGAAGGGTTTGTTCAAAGGTCTGTTAAACCATTAGTACCCCTGCCAGTGTTGGGAAAATAGGGGAAATTGCAAAACTGGCAGTTCTCCCAAACTCCAAAAAAGTTGGGGGCTGGGCCCAAGAATGGCCGCCATTGATAAATCTCATCGGCGACCGTCGTTTCGTTTCGGCCTCCTAAACGATCGGAGGCCCACCTGAAGCCTTCCTATTTTCCCAACCGTTAAAGGTACTTGTGGTTTAAGACTTAAAAGCCTTGACTAGGGTTTAGCGAGGGTTAAGGTTCACAGCCAGCGTTTTGGGCTGTGCGGTTTTTGGTTGCTCTGTTTCCCTGCATGATTTTTGATGAGAAAGTCTTAGAAAGAAACTTTTTGAAATTTGAAAATGTGCGGATCAGAATTTGACAGTTGCTGCAGGGTATGGTCATGTGGCATTGACTCTATTGAGCACCATTTAATTTCATACATTTTGTAACATTTTCACTTTTTTTTTTCTTTGTCAAACTTTATTTTATTTTATTTTCCTATTTCATTATGTGAAGATCTTCCCCCCCCCCCCTCTCCCCTTTTGTTTTTCCCCTTTTCAATGTGTAGGATGGGAAAGAGCCATGCGTTTTCTTTTTGTCCTGCGGCCACTGTGTCCCTCAACTTTCAAGTGAATACTTCTGGGATCTAACTTTTCCCCCATGGGACTACGTCTTCACCCGAATAGAACGCCCTTTCATTATCCCTGCATCTGGACCGAAAGCTGTGCCAAAGACAGCTATAATGACCGGGCGTTCTATTCGGGTGACGACGGTAGCATGTTCGAGTTCCATCTTCCTATTTCCAATGTGCAGTGTCCCCCATGTCTCATGTCTCATGTGCTGCATGTCCCATATCCCACGGGATGTTTGTCTTGTTGCAGGTGGAGGCAAACAATGCCGTCACCCTTGCATATATACCCCGCCCAAGGCCCCTCATGAACGAGAAGATCCAGGAGCTTGCGCTGCGTGTCAGTCAGAAACGAAAACAAATGCAGGTGGGTGTTTTCACTGTTTTGTTTTCTGCCGCTTGTATGTCATGTGCCCTTGCCATTGGAACCTATGATTGCAAGTATAGCCTTCAGAAGCACACACACACACACACAGCAATGCCTCTATAATTGCGGTCAACGTGCCTCTCTGTTCCTAGCATGTAGGATCCACGTAGCCTGTGACATCTGTCTGCGCCGTTCCATTCGATGCAGCAACTGTGACTGTGAAAATTGGATGCAGTGCTTCCGTAATCCACACCCGAACTGGTCCTGTCTGGTCTGCAGGGGTGGCCACTTGCCATAGTTTTTTTTTTCTTTTCTTTTTTGTGGGTGCAACCCTGTGCCATGCTAGAGTAGTCTGTTTCAGCGGTGAATATGAAGAATTCTGCGAAGCTCGTCATACACCTCTCCCCTGCTCTTTGCATGTCATACTCTATCGTGCCCTTCACATATTTCTTTCCTTCCCTTTGTTCCCACCTTCCCTGCCCCATACTCCTATAGAACTCCGCCTTCTATCCCTTTCCATCCACCCTCCCCTCCACTCCCTGTGTGCTACTAACAAATGCATACGAATGAGCATCGTTAAGAGAACAGACAATATGAAGATCAGAAATGGAACGAACGGAAGTATGAAGATGAAGGACGGACGGACACAAAGACTGTATAAGCTGAAGATCTGAAGTGAAATGAACAGGAGTATGAAGCTCTGAAGAGAAATGCACAGGAGCATACCTTCCCTTTTACTCTGCCTCCTGAAATAACATGCAAGTGGGCCGTGAAGGCACACGGGGATGCGGGCAGCTGCCGCTCAACCACAATCAACGTGGGCAGCCTTGTGCGCAAGAGGCACGGTAAAAGGGGAGCTGCAAGAACAATGAAAGGGGTACCCCAAGGACAACCAAAAAACTGTCTAATTATAAAATTGCTTTAATATGTTGGGCATCTCAAATGCTCTCGTTGTCTGCAATAGGACAAAAACTGCTTTGATTCTGAATCTATTCACCTGGGTGGAATTGGGGCTGTTGTGGGGAAAATCTAAAACACACACACACACAAACACACACACACACACACATTCCGGTCTTGCTAGCTCTCTGTCCTGGCAGATTTGAGTGGCTAGGATAGGGCTCGTACTAGCGAGCTATTCTTTCTTTTTGTGGTTGGATATGTCTTGTTGGTTTTGTTGATTATACACGGCCTAAGTCTTTCCCTGCTTTAGAGCATGGGCTGTTTTGATGCTTAGGGGTGGCCACAAGTTCTCTTTGGGGGGAATGTATGTTTTCTGGGCCAGAGTGGAAGGATTTCCCAGTTTTCTTTGGACCTTAGCAGGGGGGGTCGGTGTGTTCTTGCTGGAGGAGTCTTCTGTCTTAGGTAAGTTCTCTTATCTTCTTCCTCCTCTTTGGCAGTGACACAAGTGTGTAGTTTGAGATGAATGTCGGGAATGCCAATGCTGTTATATTTGTTTGTTTTTGGTAAATGAGTTTTTGGTTTTGTGGGCGGATGCGGAAGGCTCTCCAAGGTTTTTCGGACCTCTGAGGGGGTCGGGTCTGTGCCTTCTTGCTGGAGTAGTCCTCCGTCTTAGGTAAGTTGCCTTGTGCCATCCATCCCCTTATGGTTTGAAATATAGGGTTCAGCCTCCTGATGAGTCGGTGAAACTCCGACGAAACAGTTTGTCACAGCCCCTCGTTTGTTGTCCTCTTCTCTCTCTCTGCCTACGGTTTACCGGGCAGTTCTGTTTGTGACGATATATATGTATACTGTCATACTGAAGTATATGTGCAAGTGTGCCGCTTTGGCGGCAGATGGGTGTCTGGGCGCTTGGCACTGAACCAGACAAACGTGGCCAACCTTGCATTTTCTAATATATTGCATATCTGTACTTTTTCGTTATGGATGACTTGTGATGATTTGTGAAGGGAATGAGCGAGAGAATCTGGGGTCTTTTTAAACAACACACACACACACACACACACACACACACACACACACACGCACACACTGAGA